GAGGAGATTGTGTTGGTATCAATGTCCGGAGGTTGTGGCGATAGAAAAGAGTAAATGTGGTCATCAGACAATGAAGGTGGTGGAGGGAGGTGGAGGAGAAGAGAGAGTATGTTTTTGTTATTTTTAATATTTTCCCAAATTTTGGATTGATTTACATTTTTAAAAAAGTTTAGGAGCAAATTGTAATTTATTCTTTTTTTCTTTTTTCTTTTATTTATATATGAGGGTATATTGGTCATTTTATGTTAAAAATTGGTGAAAATGACATTCAGCGCAAAGAATGTAAAAGATATGGACGTTCTGCACCAAAAAACGAAAGGTAAGAACGTATTCCACAACAAACTTTTAAAGGTAGGGATCTTTGCGCCAATTACCCTTGTCTTGTAGAAATGGAGATTTAAGTAATTTGTAGTAGGTGGGCAGGGGAGTGGGTGGATGAAAAAACTTTATTCTCCATATAAGTGCGTATTTTAGAAGAGGCCAGTTTCACATTGTCTTTCCAATTGGATCTCTCCTCACAATTTTTCTTTCATTCACTTCTCCGACGCAATTCCACAATCAAGCATAATTGCTAAACGCAGCTGCCATCCTCTCCAGGTATTCTATTTTTTTTTTCTTAACTGAATTTTTACACTGATTATAAATGCCCGCTGTTGTTCTTTTTATTCTGTTTGTTTCTATTTTCCTGCTTAACTTTCCGTGGATTCAAACTCTGTTATCGGGATTCATTATCAGTGAATACACTGAATTTCACAAACAACTCAAGACTAGGGTTACTCGGTCAGATGCTTAGTGAACAATTAAGCCCCTTTGAGCCGCATTTTCTGTGAATAGATTTTGTAAAAAGTGATTTCTATTTGGAGGATGCTGGTTAAAAAGTATGGAAAGTTTTTGGATTTGAGTGCATAAATATATTATTGGACGGAATCTGTGGTTGAATATATGTTTTAAAGAGTGGGGCTCAAAACAATGGCTAAAGGTTCTCTTTAAAATTCCTGAAAAAATATTATAACAAAAAATTTAGTAATAAATGGGAAATCAAGAGCTTATACTGTGATCTAGAAATGATAATCTATTTTTGTCAATTGTACTCCAGAGTTGGAACCTGAAAATTGAGAAAGAAATTGATCTGGTCATTGCTTAGTTGCGTTGAAGCAGTTAAGAATCATTGACAGCCATGGTGAAACCCAAAATTGCCCCATCTATGCTGTCGTCAGATTTTGCAAATTTGGCTTCGGAGGCAGAGCGTATGCTCCAGTGTGGTGCTGATTGGCTCCACATGGACATCATGGTACTTTCTAGCCACTAGCTATCATACATTTGAATGCTTAAGCTGTTTGCTGTAGTTGCTAAGGGTCCAAAGTATGTTTGATTAAAAGTTGCCTTTAGTAACTTTTTGTCAACTTAACATATTTGAATATCTTAGTTTTAGCTTTTAAGTAAAAGAAAGTTAACTTTTTTTCTAAATGATTTGTGATTAAGTCATATATTATTGTTTCTTCGACTTTCACCAACAAGAAAAAGTACTTGTTTTGAACTTACATATTTGCTTATAAGTAAACTTCGTAATCTTAAAACACGCTCCTAGTTGCTTTAGACTTTTCCAATAGCTGTAGATCTAGCAATGAACTAATGGAGTTTGTCAAAATATTTATTTACCCAACCCCAAGTTTATTGGGAAGAAGGCTTATTTTGTTGTCGTATATGCATCCAAATGCAAATGGTATCTTTACTATGCATGTAATATCCTGTGTTTTAAGGTAACACATTAAATATGAAATGATTGGATGAATAGGCTAGAAACCCATTTTAGACCCTGGAGTGAGGAGGATGGAGGGGATTTGATTGTATGTTGTTGCTTCAATAAATAATTATAAATGTTTTCAATACCTAAACATCTATATAGTTACAGATACTATAGTTTGTATATATATGGTTCCATATTTTTCTAATTAAATTTTAATGCATTTTCGAACAATTTCTTTATAATTTCTTTTATTTTTTTGAAGTGATCATTTTGCTTTCAATGGATTTGAACTACATCTTTTGGAAGCTTTATAGTGATAATAGCCTAAATATTTTGATAAAGAAAGAAAAAGGTGTATGATGTAGCATTATAAATCTTTAGCATACATAGAAGGGGAGAGTATATAGTTATGATGTGTGTCTTCTCTCAAGTTGCTTGCAATATCAGTAGGCTTGTATGTGCTGTTAGCCTTAATGTTCTCATTTATCCTTGCATGATTCAGTGTTTCAATTGTTGCAAACTTAATACTGAGAAGTTATTTGCTTTGGTGCTTAAGATTTTGTAATGTAATTGAAATTTGAATTGTTTCATTGCAGGATGGGTAGGTTGGATACTTGGCTCAAGTTATATTATTTTCCCATGTGTTGCAAATGAAGATCAGATACCTAGAAACTCAGTGGCTTTTTATTTTTTCATATTTAACATTGTGTTCTCAAAATTCTAACACGTAAATTTTATGTACTTGTGCACTTTTGGAATTTTGCAGTCACTTCGTCCCAAATCTTACCATTGGTGCTCCTGTTATTGAGAGTCTGAGAAAGCACACAAAGTAAACCTTTCATACTTCCTCTAGCAAATTTATGTAATTCTTTCATGTTTGGTATTCAGTATTGGAGAGGACTAGACATTATGATGAATGGGATTTTAGCTTCTTTTGTTCTTTAATAGAATCTATTGCTATACAATGCTCCCTACTAAAAATGCTATTTCTTGGTTTTTTTTGTTATTTAAGAGTATAATGTTTCTTCAGGGCCTATTTGGATTGCCACCTCATGGTCACAAATCCTCTTGATTATGTCGAAGCATTAGGAAAAGCTGGTGCCTCGGGTTTTACTTTTCACATTGAAGTCTCTAAAGGTGGATTGATTGTTTGAATTTTTCCATTTTTAGCTATCTTTTTGCACCATTTATGTTAGGCAATGACATTTGCAATGTGAACCCTATGTAGATTCTAAATGACCGTTGTTTTAAATGTCTGTTCTTAGCCCACTATTCATAAGAATTAAGAATCTTTGTCAGATAATTGGAAAGAACTTGTGCAACTGATCAAGTCAAAGGGCATGACGCCTGGAGTTTCTCTGAAGCCGGGAACGCCTATTGAAGACGTGATTCCACTTGTAAGCTACTCCCTCTTTTTGTTGGGGATTGTTTTGTGAAACCGGTTCAATATTGTCTGATTTTTAAGTTTTCAATGTCCTTGTTGCTTTGACACTTCATTTTAGTAAGGAAAACGCAAAGGGTATGCTAGTATGTAGTTCTGGACTTAAGATACAATGGACAAGTATTTTTTTTTTTCACATTTAATATTTTTTTTCCATCCGTTTTACCGTATTTGCTGCCAAAATGGTACAAGTGAAAATGCTTGTGAATGAAAAAGTAATACTTTTCTGTAAAGGCCTTCCATATATGATTCGTTTCTTGTTCGTGCCTTGCAGCTTGAAGATGAAAATCCTGTGGAATTGGTTCTCGTCATGACTGTTGAACCTGGATTTGGTGGGCAAAAGTTCATGCCAGAAATGATGGATAAGGTGCACAACTGTTGTTTTTCGGCATTTAATTGATTGTGGCTGCTTGTTTTCATTAGCACAAGATCATGAGTCATCCATGGGATTACAGGTACGTACACTGCGGAAGAAGTATCCATCTCTAGACATAGAGGTGAGTTCTGGTCTTATTGACAGTTGGATTTTGTTAGCTTTCTCGTATCTGTACTCGATATTGTTAGTTATGAATTTACCCAGCCTCAACGAAACTGATAGCAAACTCACCAAAGAAAACCCATCTTAACTTTGATCGCAAGTAACGGATAATTTTATCGCATACTTATGTGAAAAGCATTCTCAATAATCTCAAGACATTTGAGGTGTAATGATGAGGGTAAAGAGTTGCCCATTTTCCCATGATGGTCTCTACTCTTAATGATTTAGGATTTTAAAAACATTACTATACTTTTCACGTGAACTAAGTAGGTCATTAAACTTGAACTTTGTTTCGAGTTGGTCACCAGGCTTGAATATTTATTACAACCTGGTTATTCCATCCATCCCAATAGTTTGGCTAATGGAAAAACTAATGTGACAATATGAAGTTCAGTACCAAAATGAAATTTCTGTAAAAGTTTAGTGACCACCAATATCTTCTTGTTGATTTAGCAATGAAATGAATTGGTAGGTTAAGATTAAACTCCAAATTTATTAGGGAAGATGCTTAGTTTATTGTTGTATGGTCTCGGCTCTTCAAACCTTGGTTCTGTTTTGCAGGTGGACGGTGGTTTAGGGCCTTCGACTATTGATATGGCTGCTGCAGCCGGAGCAAACTGCATTGTGGCAGGAAGTTCGGTTTTTGGTGCTTCTGATCCAACTCAAGTTATATCCCTACTGCGTAAAAACGTGGAGGATTCCCAGAAAACTAATTAAAACTTCCCCAGGCAAGCAACTTGGTGTAATTTGGTCTCTCATATTTACATTACTGAATGTACAATAATGTTTGCATCATGTTATATCTTCATAAAAAATGCGAAATGAGTGTAACTTTTCGACTGTGGACCAGTTACTAATAAATTATTATGAAATGTTTGGTATAGTGGAATAGACTCTGTCGAATGGTATTACGGGAAGAAAAAGAAAGTCAAAACTTTGTTTGTTGTCGATGGAGTCCAATCCAGTAGTGCGTAACAAACACGACTTTGGTGTATGTTTATGGACTGGGCTCTTTTGTATGTTTCTAGAGTCTAGTTTGGAAGAGCTTATAATATGCTTTTCTGTTTTTGGAAATCAACGTGATTTTAATTCAATTTATATCGGGCGCAAGAATAACATCAGTAAAACGAGGTTTCCTTAACCAACTACAATCTTGAAGGTGCAATAGTTCATTGGATGCTGCTCCGCCCTGTAGCCCTGTTCAAGCAGCATTATCCTTGGATGCTATACTATGGGTGACACCATATGCCACTTATCGTACAAAATGACAACTAATGAACGAAAATGATTCTAGTAAGGAGGAAATAGAAACCAAAAGAGCTCCGGAGGTGGATGGATTTGTTATTGCAGCTAATTGCATTGCAACTGTCACAGATTCCAGTAAATCAATGTTCAGCGCAAATTTCCGCCCCTTCTATATTGCATAATATTCTGCTGTAAATGGATCAACCGAAACCCTTGGAGATTTTGCAAACACCCTCAATCACCTTTTTATTAAGAGTAATGTTATTTAAATGAGAATTACAATTAATGAATCATTTAATTCAATCTCATTGATTCTATCGCATGGCATCACCTAAATTGGTGTTGTAGCACTTATGATTTATGAGTGCACTATTCTTCCATTAATGTCCCAACATACACCTGCAACCTCGATAAATTAAATCCATTCCTTCAAGGACTGTTGCATCAACATTATTAAGCTTTAGAGAGTTCGCACTTGGACTCACCCAGTTTCTGTTTTTGGACGGAGATTCATTAGTACATATATTCATCACTTTTTGGCCTATCTTGGAATTCATCCATAAGGCATTGGAGCTATTTAAAATGTAGGAAGTCGATCGATCAGATTTATTGAAAAGTAGTGTGTTCCTCTCCTTGTAGCACATCCGTAAGAGCACGAGAAGTTTCTCCATTATTTGGTCTGTGATTGATCTCGCGCGCAGGATTAATTCCCCAACCTCCAACCTATATCAGATATCAAACTAGAAAAGGTACAATGATACCAGATATCTTGAATATATTCAAATCAATGAGTGCATATTTAATATCTTCAAACTTCTCATTTCATCTATCACATATTGTGTGCCATAGGGAAAAGGTTACATTGGTTGGGAAAAGTATCCATAAATACCTTCCACACAAAAAAAAAAATCATTTACCAAAGTCACTTTGCTAGAAAGATGTTGACAGATGCCTTGACATAATGAGTGTTGACAAGATATGATTAATGAAAAAATTGATCGTGTTTTAAACAGTCCAATAATAAAATGTTACGTGACATTATGTCAAGGATTATATCAATC